TATTATTCGGTTGATGTATGGTGCAAACTCCAGTTGGAGAACCTGATCCGTGATGAGATGTCTATATGCACCCGCGCTCCGACCAGCCGTACGAATGCCATTCGAGAGTGACCTGTAAATCTCCCCATTGGTGCGTGTGACCAGCATATTCTACACTCGAGCTACATCAGCAGCTTTATGGTTCGAAGATCGAGGACACCTACATCCCAATCTGTGGAGTCCCTTTCTACTCGTTGCCCAGCACGCTCTCGGCATAGTGGGTGAAATGGAACAAGTAGATATGGGAGGTATACGTGCAAACCGAAGTCACCGTCGGAGTACATGATTGAGGAAAATATATCAAAGGTTCCTAGCCACTCAGTTGCCCTCTCATACCGAGACATGCTCGGTTCGTGGCGCTGGCAGTTCGTGTAGTGTGCAAAGCATCCTGAGATGAATGAATGATGAAAGTGATCCAAATTCGCAAATGAAGTTACCTACCGTTTGCAATGCTCGAGAAGTTGTTAAGTCCCTCGATAGCTCGGCTCAGACGATTCACATATCGCGCCTCCTCTTCCTCGCCCATTGCAAGCTCTTTGACCCGCTTCCGTGACAAGAGGGAGAATATCTCATTTAGAACCATTGTTGCTGTGGCGTCTGCTTCTTTCATACCCGCGGTAGCGTGACGAATCAAGGATTCTGTGACGCCCTCGTTGCGCGATTTTATAAACTGTTTTCCTTGCTCACTAATCTATCAGCTGCATCGTCAAAAAGAGTGACGGACCTGTAGTGTATTTAGACAACCTCTCAGATCACCTTTCGCGACACCGACAAGGGTGCTGAGTGCTCTGGTATCGGCACTCAACCCTTCGAGTTCACAGATCTCGCGAAGTCGCTTGACGATGTGAATGTCAGCCGGTCGCGTACACCGGACCTGCCTTGCATGTGGACGAAGTTTGACTAGTGAATGGGCGTTTTGGTCGTTGCATATACAAATAATTGGGCGGAGCAAGGGTCGTTTATCCTGCTGGTCACGAGTTTTCCCTGTCAACTGTTAGTCAGAACGTCAGGGAAGGCACTAAATATCACTCACTCTTTTTCTTCGGTCTGTCGAAGGTAAGTGAGACGAGCTTCTGGACGAAACTACTCGACTGCGAACAGTGAGGAGTTAGCGGGGCACAGAAAGTTGGCTAGATAAGTGGCGTACATTGTCACCACCACCACCAGTCGCCCCATCGATTTCGTCAATAATGAGCAGGACTGGTTTAGTACTCCCAATTGCAGAACCTGATTCAAGTGTGGGGCGTATCCGATCGTCAATAACCTGTGCAGATCGCGCGTCACTGATGTACATTCAGTATCTTTCGGATGGGGGAAGCGAAACTGGGTGACCTGGCGTTAATTTCGATGACTTCGTAGCCTGCTTGCACAGCAATGACATGAGCAAGCGTGGTCTTGCCAAGTCCAGGAGGTCCGGATATCAAGAGCAACTAGTGGTGATCGGATGAGCTCTTGCATGGGAGCACAACACGTGCGGCCTGACCTTCTCTTTTGGTCGGTGGTACTCGTCCTCGGGGTCGTAGTGCTGATCGTTTTCTCTGGCCCGCTTCTTGTTTCTCTTACCGAACACACACCAGTCCCACTGCTTTACCCAGCCCATCACTTCCCTGGCAACTCGTTCATTACCCAAGAGCTCAGTGAAGCGTTGAGGGCGGTATCTGTCGACCCATAACTTGTCTTCAACCGGCTGGTGAAAGTTTTCTGGTTTTGAAGTGCTTCTCGTCTCGTCAAATTAGAGCTCGACATAGGGAATAGTCCGATCACGTACGAGATATTCTCTTTCAAAGCTGTGGAAGCTGAGAGCTCGTCCAATAGTCTGTGAATAGGTACATCGAGCAATGTCGCCATTCGTGAGGTCGAGGATTTCGACTGGCAGGCCATAAGAAGGAAACATGCACCAACTATGTCTCGCATACCTTTCGCAGCTCTATGACATGAGGTTTACGCTTGATGTAAATGGTCTTGCCATCAACGGTTGTTCCCCTAACGGGTGCAAGAGTGTGCGACAAAGTACTAGGAGGGGTAGAGTTCGTTGCTCTAAGCTTGGATTGTTTTGGCTTGAGGCCAAGTATATCGGAAATGAGGGGAAATACATCGTCTACGGGAAGCGAGGACGAGAGCGCGTCCTCGTCACGTACTGAAGTGACTGAATCGCCCAAGAGGCCATTGGAGACGAATCCTGGCTCAGAGCTCCACGAGACTGAACTCTGGGAATCGAGGGATAGTGTGGAAGGTCCTAATCCAAGAAGTCCGGTAGAGATAAACGGCTCGCTCATTGCTTTGATAAGTTTTATCGAGGAAAAGCAAGGCTACAACCGATTATTTAGTACAAGATGCAATGTACGCGTTTGGACACGGTCGTGGGAAAGATTACGACGCGTCAGTGGCTGGTCTTGAACGATGCAGCTTGAAGTTGGGGTAATCTCTTACCAAAGAGCGGACAATGTTGAACTGTAAGACGCGTTCTATGGAAGATATGAATGAGAAGGAACGCGGCGTGCACAGATAAAACGGACATACCTCAGCGTTGTTCATCAACTGCTGAGGCGTAAACAAACTAAAATAACACGAAGATAAACATTGATCATGTGATCAATGTTAATGAGTATGACGAGTGCGATATTAATCCCAACAGACAACGGGTAGAAACTTGGACCAGTACTAGCGTCGCTGAGGGCACTTCAAGTCGTCCTCGAATAAGCGCACAAGTCGCTGCATAGCCCAAGCTGAAGCTAGATTTTACATAAGTTGCAAACGGCCAAAGTCGGGAGAGTCGGAGATTGGAACTGAATTCAAAATTCTTTGGCGTGTTAAGTCGAGTATTTCTTCCACCTAATTTCCCTTACCTCCGTCGTCGTCTTCGTCGTCGTTCACCACAATGCTTACTGCCCGCGGCGTCACTCGCGTCTCCAGGAGAGCCGTTAACAGTGCAAGGAGCTCTACCCGGCTCTTGCAGACTGCAGCACCGCTGTTGTCGCGTTTGTCCGTCCCTTCACCACCCAAACAAAACCATGCAATGCGTTCTTCACGTTTCCCCGCTTCTTCGCAAGGTCTGTTTCCTCGCCTTATTCCGTTTACGGTGTCCTCACGTGCCACACTTTTTTCACTCTCGGAACGGCTGTGTTCGGAATGTAGCACGCACTTATGCAACAGAAGCTACGGGAGCCGTTGGTACCGTGAAAACGGTCATTGGTGCCGTCGTCGACGTTCAGTTTGAGACTGATAATCTCCCTCCCATCCTCAATGCCCTCGAGGTCCAGGGTTTCCACGGTGATCGTCTCGTTCTTGAGGTTGCGTCACATCTCGGTGAGAATTCCGTGCGTACCATTGCTATGGACGGTACGGAAGGTCTCGTCCGTGGTCAGAAGGTTGTCGACACTGGTGCTCCTATTCAAATCCCTGTTGGTACTGCTACCCTCGGCCGTATCATGAACGTTATTGGCGAGCCCATTGACGAACGTGGTCCCATCAAGGGCGTCAAACTCTGCCCTATCCACGCTGATCCTCCCCCATTCGTTGACCAGTCCACCACCGCTGAAGTTCTCGAGACTGGCATCAAGGTTGTCGACCTTTTGGCCCCTTACGCCCGTGGTGGAAAGATTGGTCTCTTTGGCGGTGCCGGTGTTGGAAAGACGGTGTTGATTCAGGAGCTGATCAACAATGTTGCGAAGGCTCACGGTGGTTTCTCTATTTTCTGTGGTTCGTCTACTCGGATGTTTGTGGAGTTTTCGCTTGAAAAATTGATGTTTTTCCGTTGGGAATTAGGTGTCGGCGAGCGTACCCGTGAGGGTAACGATCTCTACCATGAAATGATTGAGACTGGCGTCATCAACCTCGAAGGCGACTCCAAGGTCGCATTGGTCTTTGGTCAGATGAACGAGCCTCCGGGTGCTCGTGCCCGTGTCGCTCTGACCGGTCTTACAATTGCGGAGTACTTCCGTGATGAGGAGGGTCAGGACGTGCTGCTCTTCATCGACAACATTTTCCGTTTCACCCAGGCTGGTTCCGAAGTGTCAGCCCTGCTCGGTCGTATTCCCTCCGCCGTCGGTTACCAACCTACACTCTCCACTGATATGGGTGGCATGTACGCAAATTTTTCCCCTTTCGATTTACTGTTGAGTTGACCCTGATACAGGCAAGAGCGTATCACCACCACTAAGAAAGGCTCTATCACTTCAGTGCAAGCTGTCTACGTCCCTGCTGATGACTTGACGGATCCCGCCCCGGCAACCACTTTCGCTCACTTGGATGCCACTACCGTATTATCCCGAGGTATCGCTGAGCTCGGCATCTATCCCGCCGTCGACCCTCTTGACTCGAAGTCCCGCATGCTTGACCCTCGCATTGTTGGCCAGGAACACTACCAGGTCGCCACCGCTGTGCAGAAGATCCTTCAGGACTATAAGTCACTGCAAGATATTATTGCCATCCTGGGTATGGACGAGTTGTCAGAAGAAGACAAGTTGACTGTGTGTTGAAGGACTGTGAACCTTGGTTAGTTGCTAACAATATGAATACAGGTCGAGCGTGCCCGCAAGATTCAGCGATTCATGTCGCAACCCTTCCAAGTCGCGCAAGTCTTCACTGGTTATGAGGGCAAACTCGTGTCTTTGAAGGATACCGTACGGTCATTCAAGGAGATCCTCTCAGGCCTACACGACAGCTTGCCCGAGTCTGCCTTCTACATGGCTGGTACGATCGAGGATGTTAAGGCGAAGGCTGAGCAACTCGCCAAGGAGATAAGTGGTAACTAGACGTGTTGATGTGCATGTGGCGGACATTTCCTACCCTACTCTGCTCTTTAACATTACCGTAGAGTGGAGTCAGATGTCGGCTTGCAACAAAATATCACCTCCTTATACCTCAGTTATTATTGCATTTGACATGAGGCTGCGTGGAAAGATGCTGGAATATGTTTACGTGGCCTTTCGCGATTAACGATCAATAATGAACGCTGTCAAGGCGCTATAGCCAAGTGGTTACGGCGACAGATTAGAACCACCTACTGATCATCAGTCGCGAAGTCATCTGTTACTCTTTGAGTGCGCAGGTTCGAATCCTGCTGGCGTCGGATATTTTTCTCGCACTTTTTTTTCTTTTCTTTCCTTCTTCCAAGCACAATTGAGTTTGGTTCGACTGATGGGCCCGTGTTAATTTTTTGTGACCTAGTTCTGGGTCCGCCAGGGTAATGGATGCCAGGAACCCTCACGCGCTTGTTGGACAAGGTCCCATGGGTTAACTGTGGGCTTGAATACGGAGTTGAGAAAAGTATACCTATTCAGCTTGGTGTGACCATCTGCATCGACCACAACTACTGGCACCACCAATACTGTCACTGTCACCTTGCTCTTTTACTATTTGGCTGATTCCTACATAGAGACAGCCATGGTTCCCACAATCGATGAGCTGGAGCAATACTTCGAGTCTGTCGAACACTTCGTCTCTGGGTCTCTGGCGGCCGTCTCGCCTGATCTTCCAAATGTCCGTGAGGCTGTGAATCGTCTTTGGGTTGACATCTCCCGCTTTGGTCCTCCTTCCTTCCCTTCTCTCCCGGACATTCATGTTCCTGGTCTTGGCGCATTCGAAATACCACCACCACCCCTACCACCCCCACCCCCTCCGCCAAAGTCCTTCATCAACAAGATCGAGGATTGGATTATCCAGCACCCATGGATAACTTCAGGCATGGTCATTTCAGCTCTCGGGGCTGGTCTTCTGGCAGGATATAGCACCGTCCACACGAGGTCTGTGCATAGGAGACGAATCAAGACAGCTGCTGTTCAACCTGAAAAGCGCCAGGTTGTTGGTATGTTCTGTTGCTCTATCTTTCGCCTGGAACTAGTAGGTTAATACATCGTTACAGTTGTTCTGGGCGGCGATCATCCCCTGGGACTTCCTTTGATAATGGAACTCGAAAAACAGGGCTATATTGTCATTACCAGTGTCTCATCTCCGGAGGCTGTCAGTGACATCGAGAACAAAGGACATGGTTACGTTTGTGCTCTCATCCTGGACCCGAATGGAGTACGTGGTACCACAGCGCTTTCTTGATACCAGCTGACCACTGCCTGTTAGCCGGGAACCATCCCCATCTTTCTTCGGTCTCTGGCGTCTACATTGTCCCGACGATTCCCTATCACTGCTGCAGGTGACCCCTATGCAACTACTCCCTATCACCCTCTAGTGTATTCCGTGATATCACTGCTGACGATGCCAACCACCTCTATCCATTGCGCACCAGCCCCACTTGAACAGATTTCCTTGCGCAGTACCTACCTTCCCCATCTTCTTTCCACACACATCGCACCACTCCAAACACTCCAGGCCCTGTTGCCATTACTCCGCGCAGACGCCCAACGCACACGTGGACGCAAATCGATAATTATTTGCCTGCCAGCTGCTGACGCACGTGTGGGGCTACCATTTTGTGGCGTTAGCGCCATGAGTGCTGCTGCTACCCTTCGTGCTGCCGATGTTCTGCGCCGAGAAGTTGCGACTGCCCAGGGGATGAGTACTATCCGCATCGTCACCGTCGATGTTGGGGCTGTTGGTCCATCTCACGATGACTTTGGGGTTGCAAATACCACGGTCGACTGGACTCCCTCGGAAAAGGCTAGTTATGGTGCAGCCTTTAGTGCCTTCGGAGAGACTCGGGGCTCGCGAACTCCTGAAGATGTTTCTGTCTTCGTGGATAGCCTCATCGGAGTGGTCAGCGCAGGGACCAAAACAAGGGGAGCTGGAAATGTCGTTCTTGGAATTGATCTCGGACTTGTGAGTGAAAAGATAAAAGATTGGATGCGTGGTGATAGATTTTCCGTCGGAGGTGGTGGTAAGTTACCTTGCTAGACAGTCTTTCCGCTTGCTCATACCGCTATCAGCTTACACATACACGATCGCATCTTTCCTCCCCCCTGTACTCTTGGATAGCCTTCTTGTTCTTCCGCACACCCTCATGGATATTCGAAACCGCTATCTTCCGATTTCTCCGACCCAGCCTCGCCATGTCCCTGTTCCTCCCGTGCTGCCTCCTGTATCTGCTCCGCCCACTGAAACTGCTGCACTCGCAGTGACCTCTCCCTTGGTTCTGCACCAATCTCTAGATCGAATTCCTACTGACCCCAAACCCCCACCTGCTACTGCGTCGCATTCCGATCTAGTGGATGAGCATGAGTCGGGTTCTGACGCGGACGTAGAAGAAAAAGAAGAGGATTTGGAAAGTTCCGTGGTTGGAAACAGTTGGATAAGCTTGGGACCGCACGAGTAACGAGAACAAGTCCATGGTGTATGACCGAGACTTCATTGATGATGGTTTTTTGCGGTGATGTATTTAACGAGCGATGAAAGTTGGCGATAGGTTTGTGTTTTCTCGTTTCAAGTACTGGCCAAAGCTGTGTAGCGAAGTCCACTTTCTAGCTAGGCCTTGTCTACATGTTAAAATGACCTTGCCGTGTTAGAAACTCCCCGAGGTTGGCCCCTGTTCTGAACTTCACATAATGGTTAGTACTCTGGCCTCCGTATCCGCTTGCGTTTGCGTTGAAGCTTGAAACCTTGAGCTAGAATTTCAATGTTAACCTTTTTGAATAACCATGGACAGCTCAGGCCAGGCCTGCCAGTGGTCGATCGGTTCACCGTTGTAATGATGGGCCACAGGGCTTATCGAGAAAGACTAGTATTCGTCGACGCTGACAAGCTGAACGTCCCCCCTAGTAGGCCTTTCTCTCTGGCTCGTGCCTTCAGCAGAGCAGATTGATCTCACAATCCGAAATGCCCACTGCAATCACCAGATCATGATCTCTCCCCACTCTTATATCCCACCCCCATGCCCCACACAACGCTTGCGTCAATCCCCGACACAGACTCAGAACCAGGAAACCCCTGAGTGGGATGCGCTACTCGACACGGTTCCTGCCAATCAGAGGTCCATTCGTGCCAACTTTCAATCTCTTGTGGTCGGTGACCACTATTTTCGCTCAGTGGTCATCGACGGGCGTACCGGGGACCTGGTTGATCTACAGAGTCAGATCGTAAAAACCCTGGGTCGCTCTGGCTTGGGGTACGGCGCCCCGAGGTTCCTGTAAGACGGTCGAGACCGCCGTCCGCTTAGACCGTTAAACCAAAAGGCAGTAATTCTGAATGGTTTACATTCAGTATCGCAGGCGGTATATATACTAGTTGTAGTGTAGGGACCTGGGTAAGCTGTAGGTTTACAGTTTAGATACAAGGGAGATGACTGGCAAGCATAACATGATCAATAACAATCAGGCGTAAAACATGCGGTACAACGACTGCACTGGAAGGCGTCCGAACAAGATACTCAGTACGATGAAGAGCACGAAGTGTTGCGATGAGAAGGGGCGGTTGTTCAATCTCATGATGTTGTTCTGCCTGTCCTTCTCGTGTACGAAGGTGTTATAGCGGTGGTTAACAAGACTCCATTCAATATTCCCAACGACCCAGTCGATCAAACCATCTGCGTATGATGAAACGTGTCGATCCAGAGCAACGTCACCGAATGAAGGTAGCTTCTGCCTGCATGAGTGAAAGCGGTCCAAGGCTGCGTTGAAGAGCTTCGTCGCGTAACGAATCCTCTCTTGCAGATCCAGGTGGTCAGTCGTGGGGTCTTTGTGGATTACTGTCAGAAGATTGGTCAGTGCCCCGTTGTCGCCATATTCTTTCTTGAAGGAGTAGATGTCCTGGGGGAAATTAAACCACAATCAGGGGAGAGAACATCCGCGCGGACTTTTTCTCACATTAGCAATGGAGACCATGTCTATCGCGACATCCTCCATCTCCGTCATGAGCGGATGGGCCAAAACATCGTCAGGAATGTAGAGGCGGCGAGTAGACCGCATTAGGACAAAGCATGGGCGCGTCCCGATCGTCTCCCGACGCATGACAGTGTATGATTGAATATTGTTGGCCGCGTTCTCATTCATATCTGCGTCACGGACGAATGCTTCTCGAATGACGTTTTTGGCAAACAGTTCGTTCGAAGCGATGAATTGGGGCCAGTGGAATGGATCGACAGCGGCTTTCATCATGGGGATTAGTTCTCTGCGTTGGAAAGGCTTGGTGAATCACTAAGAAAGAGAGAGAGAAGGTCATTCGGCCAACTTACTTGCGCATGGTTTTGATGAATGGATGGCGAGAGGTTTCCCCCCCCTCGGTGTCCCGTAGCGTGGAGATCCACAATTGTGAATTATTCACAACCTTTGTGCTCGAACAACGGTCCCTACGTAGAGTGGGTGAGCACAGCTTGGTGTGATTGGCGACGAGATGCATACGTTAACTCTTCCAGCATAAAAGATGACGTCATGTAAGCGAGAATCGCCCTCAGTTCTTGACAAGAGGCAAGGGGCCACGCCATAGCAGCCAGTAGAGGCATCTCGGCGTTATACACCTCCTAGCGTCAGGGGTGAGTGTAGGCACTGGCTGCTAGATGTGAACGCGCACCTTAGCGAAGAACCAGCCGAGCTTCTTGTGCACCCATGCGTTATATCCGGTATCAGCCTCCTTGAAGTGGGGACTGATATCGCCGCCAGGTTTCTTGGGCAGCAGGGCGAGCAAGTTGGGAAGTTGATAGACTCCTGTAGCCATGAAGTGCAGACCGAGGCAGATGGGCACCACCGACTCGAACCTCGAGCATGCTAGCATTTGTACACCCTGGCATTGTCGGACCTGAGACACTGGCCCACAAGGTGAAACTAGAACGAAATTGTGATCAGAAGGAGTGACAAGAAAAGAATAGCTCACCTTCACATACTGGTGCACAATGATTTAATGGCTCACCCGGCCAGACGAGAAGGAGCAAGCCAACAACGGATCGTGTAAGTTGTAAGTCTTGGGTGCCCTCAGGATGTCATCCTGGGAGTTGATGCTAGAGCTCAAAATCGCGGTGTATCTCCAATTGGCACGTTGCACGCCATATAGTACTCATCTGGCGGTGGCGTACTAGGATTCACTAAGACTAGTAGTGTTTCAAATTTTCGTACTTCATCGATATCATTCTTGGATTCAAATCTCGTAGTACTTACTTGATGAATGTGAAACAGGTGGTGTCGTTCAAGCTTT